CTGATCTCGATGGTCTTGCTGCTGTCCCCATCTTGCTCTGATTTATTGGTCATCAGCGTCTTGAACCTGGAGCAGAGGAGACGAAACGAGGCAGGTTTTGAACGTGACTTTTTCTCCATCACCGTGCGGTGACGGCACCATCCGTCACCTCACCGGCTACCGGGAGACAGAGCGTTTGAAAGATTGCTGCTGTGCTCCCAAAATAATTCTCAGCAAGTGACGTTTTACATGGTGCTGACAGCGGGGCTGAGCCCCATTCCATCCCTGCTATCTCCATACTTGTGACCTGACGCCTGTGGCCGGACACTGACTCCTTGTCCCAGGATATTTATATTTTCTAATAACTGAAAGCAATACCTGGGCCAGAAAGACCCCCCCCCCCAGGTCTCCCTGGAGGACTCCGGCCCACGCCTCCTGCCCCCCATGGGGCAGGTGGGCCACAGCCCCAGCCAGCCGCCCTCCGGCACCTCAAATCTGAAACAAGCTGCCCTTATGCCCCTGAGCTGGGGCTTTGTTATCCGAGGCTGCCTACCTGTTGGACGCCGTCACCAGCAGGACTTTATGTGCATAAAACAGCTTTCCTTCCACGAGGAAGGTCACGTCCGACATCTCCTTGTTGTTCAGAAAGTGTGGGTCTGCGAAGAAGGGGAAGAGAGGGACGTGGCCGAGGCGTCTACCTCCGGGGGTTATTAAGGGTGCTGTGAGGTGTGTGTTGGGGCAGGAGAGGGACACAAAGGTGAGGGACAGAGAAACTGAGGCCAGGGATGGAGGGGAGGAGGAGGATGGCAGGGCGCGCGGAGACGGGCCTTCACCTAGCCTGGCCGGCAGGGTCTTCCGGATCTCTGGGATGCTGGGGATGGGGCTGGTGCCGTAGCAGTGGGTGAAGATGGCAGCCAGCTGCTGGGCGACAGAGTCGTTCTGTGGGAGAGGGAGAGGGGCCCGTTAGCTTGTCCCGTGCCGCTGTTTACAGCTGCAGATACGTCAGGCTGATGTCAAAAGTCCAGGCCTGGATTAGAGCAGCCGCTGGCTTTTTGTTCCTGCTGGATCTGGCTTGGCAGGAGATGCCTGTGCTTCCATCAGCGATTCCCCAAATGGCTTTTCTGGCCAGGATCCAGTCCAGACACGTCCACGGCCCCTCCCCTCTGCGGCCGGGCAGCACGAGTCTGCGTGCCGGGGGTGGGCGTCCATCCGTGTGCGTGGGGGTGCCTGTGTCTGCTGCCTGCCTGTGTGTCCGTCCACACGTCTGTCCTGTGGCCCGGGTCGGGGCTGTGGGCTCTGGAACCCGGGGCTCCCTGGGTGTGGGGCGGGGGCTGCTGGCCACACTCACTTTGCTGGTCTTGAGGATGTCGAACAGGAGCTGCAGGCCCTCGGTCACCAGCTCCTCGTTGTACTCCTCCTCCTTGATGGAGCCGAAATCCCGCAGGAGGCTCTGCACCACCGAGTACCGCGACTGCGAGAAGGAGGTCCTCAGAGACTCGATCCAGATGTGCAGCTTCCAGGGCACACCTGGCCCGGGCGGGGAAAGGCAGGCAGTCACACACCTTGGCACGGTGCTCCCCGTGCAGACCCCAACATTCTCCAGCAGGACGTGCCCCGGGTCGTGGAGCACCCCGCCCCCCCTCTGCTGTGTGCTGAATGGCTGTCCCGGCGTGGCCACACAGCGACAGCCTTAATTCACGCCAAGGGGCCGAGCGTGGTGGTCAGAGGGCAGTTCCAGGTTCTCTTTGGATGAGGTGGAGGAGTGGCTGCAGCCCAACACGGGGGACCCAAGCTGTGAAAACTGACAGCCCAGCTGGGGGATTTGTGAGTGTGGCCCCACGGCCAACGGGAACCCTGTTGCTTGTTGGGCCCAAAAATTATTTGCTAGGGAGGACTTATTAATTCTGGAGGGGTGGCCAGGTGGACACGGGTACCCGGAAAATATGCAGGGCATTCAAGGACACACAGGCCCCAGAGTGAACTTGTCCCTGTCCCGGAGGGAGGGCCCATCCCCAGGGGACTGGTGTGTCCATGCACACCCAGGGGCAGACGATGACTGGGTACCAGCTCCCCGGAGTGTGTCAGTGGGGCCACAGAGTCCTTTAAAACTGCTGGGGGCAGTTCAAGACATAAACTAGTCGTGTTCCTGGTAATCAGAGAGATAACCTCTTACCCTCCCGCCTCCCTGGGGATTATAAGCAATGGCATTCCCCAGGGACATAGGTTACTGACTGCAGGTGGGAGTGACATCCCCACTTTACAGCAATGAACACCGAGGCAGGCTGCCTCGCTGCCCTCCGGCCCTGCCCTGGGGGTTGCGTGCTGTGGCCCCATGGTAACAGCCCGGCTGCCGAGTTCCAAGTGCTCACAGCAGGCACCGGGCCTCGTGCTTTAGTGACGTCATCCCATTCCTAGATGATGATCCTGAGCACCAAACCCCCGGAGAGAGAAGGGAATCGAGACTTGGAGAGATTACATGGTGTGTGGCCAACACAGGATCTGACCCAAGTCTCTGTCTGACCAGCCTCCCTGGAGGACACAGAAAGTCCACAGACTGGACCAACCAAAGGTATGAACAGGCTGGCCGAGGACAGGCATGGTGACTCACAGGGCTCAGTGTGCTACACATCCCTGAGCTGTGACCAGCGAAGGGTCAGCCAGGGAGGATGGGAGGCCTGAGGGCAGAGGGCTGGGGCCGTGACCTCGAGAGGTGTCACTGCTGAGGAATGTCTGAGGCCCAGGGCACCTCCTGGCCTGGCCACACCCTGTGCTCAGCTGCCCTGTGAGCCCTGGGCCACTCTGGCCTGCTGAAGAGCAGCAGGCAGTGACTGCATGTGCACATGTGCATGTGTGAGTGTGCCTGTGTGCACATGCATATATGCGAGTGTGCATGTGTGTATGTGCACATGCTTGTGTGCGAGTGTGCATGCATGCCTGGGCAGCCTTACCCAGCGCCCTCAGCTCCATGGTGATGTCCACGTAGCCGTGCTCGGCGCTGTAGTACATGGCCTCCTGCAGGGCCTTCGTGCGGGTCCGGCTCAGCCGCACGGGCCCCTCGCTGCTGCTGCCCTGGCTGGACGTGTCGCTCTCCTCCACGCCCTCGGCCAGGATCTCCTCCAGGGACAGCACGTCTGCTTTGGCCTGCTGCGGCTGCGTCAGGAGCTTCCTCAGGACATTCCTGCAGGCAGAGCGGTGGAGGAGGGTGAGGCCTGAGGTCCCACAACAGGTGGTGCCTGCCCGAGCTGCCGCCTGGCACCCCACTGCCCGGATGGGTGACCACGGCACATCCGGGGCTCAGGGAGCTCCTGGCCTGCCTCTCACTCCTGGGGACACCAGTCCCCACGACCTGGGGGTCAGGGGACGGTGCGGGAAGCCCCTCTCTCCTGCCACCCTGGTACTGCAGAGAAGTCACAGGCTTTGGGGTTGGGCAGGCTCTGCCATCCTGGCTGTGTGACCTCAGACTGGCTGTCCTCCCTCCCTGAGCCCGGACTGCTTTGTCATCTGTAGAACAGGGTGTCAGCGTCACCCTTTCCCAAGGCTACTGTGAAGGCATCACATGCAGAGCCTGGGACCCAGCAGGGCCTAAACAGCAGCCACGTATGCGAAAGCGTCTGAGACGGGGTACTCAGCCCTAGTTAGGGCTCAGTCGCCCCTCTTGTTCCTAAAGATGAAGTGAGGTGAATGACACAGAATTTACTCAGGTTTATAAACGAACGCCTAGAAGGTTAGATTGGACAGAGCACGCTCCCCGTGCTGCTGTATTTAGCCCTGCAAGACACCATGAGTGTCGCCATTACGGGGGATGAACCCACCCTGCTCAAGGCATGTGATGGGAGTGCAGACGCAGACATGCGTCCTGTGGCCTGGGCTGGCAGCAGCATGGCAGGCCCCAAAGGTCTCCTGTGTGCCGACCTCCTCCACAGCAGCCCCGTGGGCCCCTGTGCAAATCTCCTGATCCTGTGGCCAAGGCACCCTGCGCAGGACCCAGGGCCACCCCTGAGGGGCCGGCCGGCCGGCTGTATGTAGTCAGCGCTCATCTGTGGCTCTGCTAGCTCAGGAGTCTGCAGAGCGCCTCCCTTGTGCTGGGCATGGTGTGTGAAGGTGAAGCAGCCCCGGTGCCTGTCCCCAGGGTCCTGTGCTCCACACAGAGCGAGAGGAGGACGGGCAGGCAGGGAACCCCCTCACAGGGTGAAGGGGCCACAGTGGGCCAAACA